CAGCAGTTTTTCTCGACAGAGCAGTCGGACAAAAAGAAATGTAATTCAACCAATGTTCACAGTGACTTAAAAACTCTACTTGAAAATCATAGAACTTCGTCTGGAAGAATTTTGCAGAGCAATGATATGCTCCTAGTGGTCCATGGAAAAATTATAAATATCCCCACAAGGAGTTAAATTTCACCTTCTTTTGTGTCTTTGTTGACAAAAGAGCGTGTTGACAATTTCTACCACTTCCTGCAACATTTGGGTCATGTCCGTAGAAAGGCGTTGTTTGCTGCACCATACGGATAAGAGGAGAACTCACAGCAGGATTACCATTTGGTTGCATATCCACTGGAACGGAGCACATAATAATGTCCATTAAAAACTAGATAAATGTATTTGCAAAAAAGAAAAGATTCGAAACTCCAGGGAAAATCAATTTAGTTCTTTAAAAAGATTTTGGAAACATTAGACATCCCGTAAAATTTGAAATGAACAAATTCTGAACCAAATGGAGAAGGAATAGTTCCGAAAAAATCTAAATCAGTTGGAAAAAATCCAAACAGCATTCAATTATTTAAAAACCAACATAAAGTCCATAGAAAGTGCAAAGGGAAATGGATGATAAAATTCGTTGGAAATTAACTTACTATTTGAAATACTCCGTTGCAATGTGGTGTTATTAATTACGGGAGGTGTTAAACCACCGCCAGCAGCTTGCAAGACAGCACCCGGGACTGAAGCTTGAGTTGGAGACATTAGCTGGGGTGAGCGCATATCGTGACCAGATGGTGCCTGATAACATGAATTTATCGAAGTAGCAGGTGCTAAGCTTTGTACTGCTCCTGGTGCTGAATATTTTGCTGTAAAATAAGTCTTTTGATATATAACATAAATTTTTAGTCGAACATATTATTTCTTGAACATATCCAAATAAATTTTTCCCGACGAGGGATGAAAAATCGCTTTCATGGTTTCATTTATGAATAGAGCTCGAATTCTCGTGTACTGATGAAAACATATCTGATTTCCACAAAAATTTTCAAGGACAAATTTGAATTGCTGCTTGTGCATCAATTATACTAGCCGGTCCCGGTAGTTCTGATTCTTTTCTAAGGAAGAGGTAAGAATAACAAGTACCCATAAGATATTGTCAAGAGCTTTCACTCACGGATATATCAACGTGCATTTTATCTTATTTACTATAAATATAAGATATTCAGCAACAACAATGACACTGATTCATTTGCCACTCTCTGCAGAGAACAGGCAAGTAATTTTAAATCTCATTATTGAATGCAAAAAAAATGTTGTATCTGAAAGTGTTTTTGCTCATCCAAGCATCCTTTTCTCCAAAAATTTCTCTATTAGTGGTGAAATTCCTCACTGCAATGAATGTGGCGAAACTGTTCATACATGCATTCAAAAAAAGTAGTAAAAGTAGCAAACACAAATTTTAATGGAAAGTATGAAAAACAAATGTATTCGAATTATTAGGGCAACTGCATTTATTTCTATACACAATAAGCTAAATTTCGAGAAATTTTTTAATCTACAGACTGCTAGCTGGTTTTTCATCTTAATTTGCGTAGTAGAATTTGAGTTGATTTACTTTTTATGGAGGTAAGGGAATATACTGCTAACTCACTCAATCACTATCGACAGACTCGCTGTTTTGATTTTAAAAATCAAACACCGATTAAAGAGTACTTCTCGCAAATTCGGAATTTATATTCAAAATTTAATGACGGAAGAAATAACAATAGCATACCAATAGGTGAATATTGCTGAGGTTGCAGATTTGATTGCTGATTGGCTGGTGCTGAATTTGGAGCCGGATACACTGCAACAGATGGACAATTAAACCAAAAAACAAAAAGTTGCTTTCCATAGCAATTACTTAATTTCATCAAACTTATCAAAACATTACTTCACATCAATAAATTCTCATCGATTTAGCTTGGAATTTTTATTTGTATAATGGTAATTTCGACTATTAAAACCTTGCACGATGGATTTATGCCCAGGCAATCTTATTAATAACAACTGACTAATAAACATTGAATAAAGAATAATTAATAATAGTGACTGTAATTAATAATAATAATTAATAATAATAATAATAATAATAATAAT